TCTCATGGTCATCAGTCTTCCATGAAGGAATGACCTACTAGCTTATCCTTTCCGAACAACTTCTTTCCCTGCTCTGTCAGATCCACGTCGCATACTGCAATCTCCCATCCCGCGTCACTTCGGCCAACTTTGGATCCGAGCGCACGTCCGATGATCTGATGCCCATAGCAGATTCCCAGAATCTTCACACGCTGATCATCTATAGCCTGTTTCGTATATTCGACCAACTTTAGAATCCAGGGGTCGTCATCAAAGGAGTTGAACTCTGCAAGCATGAGTCAGAGAGGGCACAAACAAACACACGCGGACCCAAATGGTCCAGTCGCACAATAAGACACTCGTCGCCGTATAACCAAGGATCAAGGCCACCATGCATCAAGATGCGGGTACTTACTAGATCCAGTCAAGAGGATGGCATCGACATCCTCTAATCTCGGATACTCTTGTGCATATACAACATCCCAGCGGGAAATATCGAGGCCCGTTTCTGGGTCTAATCTGTCTGGCTGCCCGAGTGCTCTCGCACTTTCTTTGAGGAGCTGTGAGAAGACACCATGATATCCGCCGTATCTTGCGTTTGCATCGGCTGGCGGGGCGTCGCATTCGAGGACGGCGATTCGCAGTGGGGGGCGCATTGTTGTGAGGGGGAGAGGGCGATTCGTATGAAAGAGAATATGCTTCCGGACTTCGAGCCAATGCTGTATGGATGTTGAGAAATATAGAAAAGCAAAAGGAGACACTTTAGACACTCTTTCAGGTCTATCAAGCACGATTTTGTTTTTTTCCTTATTGAAATGGACCAAATGACAGGGGTGGCACTTCTTATCAGTACCCCTCACTCCTTTATCAGCGGACACCGCCTTCCTGACCGGGAAAACTCTCATCATTGCCCAAATGATTCAAGTTCAGACTACAGAGTATGCAATCAATGTTGTCATAAAGTTGTGCATTATTGAGTTGATCATGTCTTGACTTTGCTCATTTATTGTTCACTCCAGTCTATAAATCTTGCCCAGAGGTAATCGAGGCTGGCATGAAACTACGTGCCTCTTCTTGGCGCAGGATAGCCATTAGCCTGACTACTTACCTCTTGCTTCGATATGGAAAACAAACCCCTAGCCAGAAATGATCATGACTCGGCATCCAGACTGACTCGAAGACCACTCTACGTTTCCAAGTTGCCGGATGCTCTCACTGACTCAGCAGGTGCGCACCTGCTATGACCAGTTGAAGTAAGGCATGGGCCATAGCACAGGCTCTTGGAAGTATCTTGCGGTATTCAGGAGATAGGGAGCATATTTGAGGATATTGCCTTGGTAGCAAGATATGTCCCTGTGAGATACAACTGCCCTAACATTTGGAAAGATGCCTCCGAAATGGTTGTGATCCCAGCCAGCATCTCGAACAAGAAGCACAGCCCAATAACATGCGGACTTCAATTGCTGCGAGGACTAACGGATTTAGCGGCGGGTGCAGATGCAGATGCAATTGTATGGTCGGATGACTCATTTTGGGCCAATCAGTCTGACTCGCTCCAAATGGGACAACTGCCGAGGGGGACTTCTGATTGGATCAGTGTTTTGCTGTAAAATGGAAAAAAGATCCCTTCAGGGGAGGGGTAAATCAATGGTGGGCGCCTTATCCACAAGGCATCCCATATCCACCTGATACTACAAGAGTACACAATTCTTCATCTGTAGTCGGGCATGAAGACAAAGTTGAATAAAGATATTGAGTCACTAATATGAGAGACCATCTAGACAGTTATCAACTATTCGATTGAGGATCACACTTTGTGGAGTAATGTTCTTGGATTGGATCGACCAGGAATTCTCTGGTTGAACCCGGTGATTTGGTTAGTATTCTCCTTTTTTTTTTTTTTCTTTTCCCTCAAGCTAGGTAGACAGGGATCGTGTTCTTAGGTGTATTGCTTTTCAACCAATTCTGGCTGCTAATTCACTTCATTTTCCAAGATATCTTGCCCATCGGAGTAGGGGATATATTACTAAGTCGACTCTATGGGACAGTAGTGGCGACTCCCACTGTACTGGTAGTAGATACACCAGGGTCAAGCGGAGTAAGAGTCATTTCAATGCCTGCCTGCGGATACTCCAAGTCTCCAACATTATGCATTAGCGTCTCTTGCCAAACCAGTGTTTGATTGACTATATAAGACTGGAAGGTCCCTTCATGCTGAATACCTGAAGCATTTTGATCCATGCCATGCTGAACTTTTCCATCAAGGCTCTGGATCCCTGCGGTCGGCTTATAACAGAGGCAGAAAAACTTTTATCTACTCATTATTTTGCATCCAAACCCACACTGCTCTTGACATCCACTTCACTACACAGAGTCTCCCTCAAATGACTATCACTGAAGGTTCGGGTGGAATACCTCCGCCTGCACGGCGAGAGCGCCCTGACATTGACGAAGCAACCCCTCTGCTCAAGGCAAAATCTCCAAACCAATTTTTGTACTTAGATGCCGGGAGCTATTCAGCGTTAGACGAGACCGGCGACGCGGTCCCAGCATCGGCTGCTTTCACAGCCGAAGATGAGGATGCCCTTCTCAACCTCACTAGAGTCAGTTCGTTACCTCAGGGTCTCGATATCGAACCGAACCTAGAGAATATCCCTCCTGTCCCTATTGCCGATAAAGGTGATTCCGCAGACCCAGAGAACTGCTCAGCGCGTAATCGCGATGATTATGCATCCCGTTTTATCGGTGTATCACCCATGCGCTTCTGGCTCATCTTCTCTGGGATTCTATTGGGCTACGTGATTGGATTCTTTGACTCAACCTTAATGGCCTCTAGCCACCCCGTCATCACGTCGCACTTTCATGCCTCGAACTCTGCATCCTGGCTCTCGACTGCTTTTCTTTTGACATCGACTGCGTTCCTTCCACTTTTTGGGCGCGTATCGGACACGTTCGGCCGAAAACCGGTCTATCTCTTTGCCATTGCTATTTTCTTCGTGACCACAGCATGGTGTGCAGCAGCGCAGAGCATCGGAAGTTTCATCGCTGCCCGTGCTCTCTGTGGCCTCGGAGCTGGTGGTGTTTTTTCTATGGGGATGATTTTGTCTAGCGACCTTGTGCGCATCGAGTATCGAGGCTTGTATCAGTCCTATATCAATCTCGTCCTCGGAATAGGGGGCTGCCTTGGGCTTGCTTTTGGTGGCTTCCTGTGTGATCATGTGGGATGGAGAGGTGCGTTCCTCGTGCAGCTCCCGTTCATCTTCGTTTACTTCATAGTCGCAGCTTGGACAACTCCAGCAGACCTGGGGTTGAAGAGAGCAAAAGCGGATCGGATGAGTGTGTCCCAATTGATCAGAAGCATCGACTTGACAGGCTCCTTCATACTTGTAGTCACAGTGACCACTTTGATCATGGGTCTCAACCTAGGTGGTAATGTGTTCGAATGGACTCACCCCCTCGTTATCTCATCGCTGGTTTTATCATTTGTTCTAGCCGTGGTCTTTGTGCGATATGAACGAAACGTGGAACGAGCGGTGATGCCGATATCACTCTTGTCAAAGCAACCCCGTGCAAGTCTTATTTTCGGAAATTTCTTCGGATCAATCTCGATCAACACCATGATTTTCAATGCTCCGCTGTATTTCCAGGCGGTCAAATTGGCAAGTCCCACCGATTCCGGTCTCAGGTTGGTCGCTGCTACTCTCGCTGTCACAGTTTCTAGCGTGTCGACCGGCTTCTTGATCACTTGGACCAAGCGCCTCAAGCCGACAATGCTCATTGGCGGCCTCTTCCTCTTGATCGGGGGCTGTGCTGCGGCTTTGATTGGTAAAGACACTCCTGATTTAGTCGCGATGTTCTGTGTCTCTTTGTCCAGTCTCGGCCAGGGCTTCGCCTTTCCCACACTCATGGTATCCGTCCTGGCTACAAGCGCACAGGAAGAGCAGGCAGTAGCTACGACAACTCTGGGCCTCTTTAGAAACCTGGGATCAGTCATGGGTGTGGCGACGAGTAGCTGGATATTCCAGAATACACTTGTTTATCAGCTGGACGAAAGGGTGACCGGTCCCAACAAAGAGAGCGTCATTCTCCTCGTCCGCAAATCGGTTCAAGCTATTGCTAACCTGGATCCAATGCATCAAGACCAAGGTGAGTGTTTTCGGCACGACGTGCGAGGCAGGCCCACTAATTGCAACCCAGTGATTGAGGCATATGCTGCCGCTCTCCGTATGACCTTCTTTTCCGCAGCCATCTGGGGAGCGATCATGTTCATGATGCACATCCGTGTCCGGTTACCTAGGTTAGGTAGCAAGGCCTCATCCTAGTCGCCGCGAGCCTGCTAAATCCTGGCTTGGCTTCTCAAGAGTTGTAAGTATTCTCTTAATCTTTCTATACCAACATAAGACTTTTCTAGGAAGTTTAAAAGTGATGGGGTGGGTGGAAGAAGAATATGCATAACGCGCTCATATAAACCCATAAATGGATTCCAGGCTGGAATCGAGCATGTAGTAGTCAATTCATAAAATGATCAAAAGCAATTAACTCCGGTGAATCTTCGCATCTCAACAGAGCTTATGACTTCTTGGTAGTCCGAATCAGATAAGCCTTCGGGATCAACTTGGGGTCAAGCAAGTGGCCCCAAGGTTTAGTCACCGAATCTCACATTCCCCGCAAATCTTTGCTTCAATCCATCATCGCTCAACCTTCGTCCAGAAGCAGCACTTTGCACTGATCCGCTCTACACAAATCTGCTCAGTGATTTTTCTGCTCCTCCTTTTGTAAGACAAGATTCCAGAGGCTTACCGTCATGACGCCGGTGGTGATCATCACTAGCTAACAATTTTGCGGAATTAGACTACGCGACTGCACGACGTTGGAGACTCCAGCCGAGTGGCTACAACACAATGGTCAAGGAATGGATCCTATGGAGGTGATATATAAGGTCTCTTATTCTCGTTCTCGTGTGCTCTGGGACGGTTCCTGGTCAGTGAAGGAAGTGCTCGAACGAGTTAGCACGACTTGACATGGCTTCTGTCGGCAACAATGCCTTTCCACAGTCGGAGCGGAACATTTCGATTGATCCTCTCTCTCGGGAGGGGAATGCGAACAGTGATAACATCGACTCGAACACTGCTGACCCGGAACTACTGGCTGGCGAAGTGCCCCAAGACGATGCGCCAGATACCAGCCTTTTCGAGGAGAGTGAGGTACCAACCTCGACGAATTCACCGGCGAGCACACCCCGCGTATCGAGCAAAAGACGGAAAAGAACCGTCGGCGGCAAATCCAAGCGTGTCCGTACGGGCTGTCTGACATGTCGCGAGCGCCATCTGAAATGCGACGAGACTTCGCATCGGTGTCAGAATTGTCGCAAATCAGGGAGAATATGCAGGCGTGGCGTCCGTTTGAATTTTATTGATACACAGACTGTGGCGCCTCCACACTGTGTCCCTCGTCCTCCCGGTGCATCCGTCACTTTTCGGGATGAGTCCAGAGTTATTGCGTCGGAGTATGTGGGTGGAGCCGAGAGATATCCCCCTCCGGGAATGGACCCTCCTTTGGAATTGGCTTTGCCGTCAGAATATCCCTCTCTGATAAGTCCTCCGGTACCTCTGAGCATGCCTTCGCTTTTTGGAATCACTGAAACTTCGCTGCCTGACCAAAGCGGTAACTTCAATGATCATGCGCTCTCAACGGATTATTCTGTCTTCCCTGATCAGAGTGCTTCATACGCTCCATTCAAGTCCAGGAAGGTCGGAGCAACGGACTCGAATGACCGTGTATATCTCAGCGACCCCGAAGACATCTTGCTGTTGCGGGTCTTCGTCGAGGAGGTGGGGCTATGGATGGATTCTATGGATGCAGTCAAGCATGTAAGAGCTTCTGTATTGTAAATCATCGCTTCCTTGCTTCTGACCTGACCAGTTCACCCAAATCCTGCCATTTCACGCATTGGAGGAGCCTATGCTTCTAAAGGCGTTTATGGCATGCGGCGCTCGACATCTGTACCTGGTCAATCCTGCATACGGCGAAGAGAAGGCGACATACTTTCATGACATAGCTTCCCGAGACCTGCTCCGCTCCTTGCAAGATCCAGAACGTGACTCTGCACTGTGTGCTACAACCGCTATCGTTCTCAACGTGTACGAATTAATGAGCTCCCGCTCGATTCATGAAATGAATCATATTGCAGGGGCAAGAGCACTCATTAAGGAATGTCAATGGGATGCAAGATCGCCAGGCTTGGGCGGTGCCTGCTTCTGGCTCAACGTTGGCATGGAGCTGCTCATCTGTATGCGCTACAATTGGACCTTGGCCTGGGATCCTGATACTTGGGGTGTAAAGATGACTATGGACCCAGCGGAGCCCAGCATCGCGGGCAACGAAGAAATGTGGACCCATCGTATGGTTTATATCTGTGCCAAAGTCGCTAATTTCCGATCTTCTGTATCTCACTCTCAGGCCTTGAATAGTCCGCCAAGTAACTTCCACGAGGAGTGGAATACATACAACGATTGGTGTGATCAGTGGGCGAAAGCTGCACCACGATCCATGATGCCTGTCGGCTATCTTCATCCGTGGCAAACCAGGTCTAAATCACAATTTCCTGAGATCTGGTAGGTCTACTGGGTTTTATTGCTCTACAGAGCATAATCACTGACTCATTTTCGAAAAGGTTGATCAAACAATCCGCGATAGTCGCTCGATTATTTTACCATGTCACACGGTTGATGCTCGCCAGAATTCGTCTCTCGCCATCCGAATTCAGCCCCGAAATGCAGCACATGCAGCTTCATGCGCATGATATCTGTGGCATTGTGGCGCACGTCAAAGATCGGTATGGACGCATCCCGAGTGGTTGAGAATTGCTCTTGACTGACTTTGAGAAGCGGCATTGCTGGCTTGTCCATCCAATTTCTAGCTGTTGCGGCGGAGTGCTTGGTGACGAAGGAGGCTCAAGAAGAAGTGATCGAGATACTCGACAGGATCGTCAAGGAGACCGGCTGGCGCGCTGAACATATCCGGAACGACCTTCAGCAAACCTGGGGTTGGCAAATTCCTCATCAACAAGAAGTTCTATCTGTTTCCACCGAGACCATCTCTCTACTCGATGGTCACAACCCTTTGGCATCCGATACGGCCGACTTCCGATGTTCACCTGGTGCCATCAATCCGATCATGGCCTATGCCGATTTCTCAATGGAAAATCACCCTTACCAGGAATACTATGTTGCGCCTCATCATCCTATACATGACTTTTCGTACAATATGTTCTGATTTGGATACCTCGACTTGACTGGACGGAGTTTTGGCTTTTCTTTCTGGATGTTCTTCTAGATTCAGTAACTGGGCGTTTCTCATGATGATACCACGAAGGTCTCTCTACGATTTTTGAATTTGATGTACTTTCCCCAATGCGGCATGTACATTTACATGTTTTCTCAAGATGCGATCCGATGTCGTGATGTATATATTTTGCTTGTTGTACACTAGTTTTGTCGAGGGGTATATCTGCGGCTTCATGTTGTTCAAAATGCCCTGCATAGACAAGATGAACAAATTGCTTTTCCTGACTCTTCTTTTTCATTGATATTATGAGCATCCGGCAATCAATTCAGCTAGTCCGCCTCTCCCAATGGTTCCTCCCAATCGTAATCCCTGCTTCTGCGATCCTCTCTATCCCCTCTGAAGCGTTGCGTGGATGATGAGAGTGCCAAGACTTGCTTATTCCGTAGAACCTCGCGTCCCTGTTTCTTTCTCCATCGACGCACCAGCATGCAGTACGCCTAGAGGACATCAAAATTACGAAGATACAGGACCGAAATCATTTTGACCTGATACTACTGTGCATTCCAACGGACAAATGAGCGAGTTCGCTAACCAGGCTGCTCGACCTCCAGCCACACCTATCTATATCCTCCGCGGACATGCAGCCCCAATCCATGCGTTGCATCTGTTCAACCAGAATTTGCGGCTAATCTCAGCCGACGCGAATGGATGGATTGTTGTATGGGATTTGGTGATGAAACGTCCAGTGGCCGCGTGGAAAGCGCACGAAGGGGCAGTTCTTGAAGTCAAGGGGTTTCCTTCTGCTGCGAGAGCAGAAACAGACGTATATACGCATGTCTGCACTTACTTCCCGTATCAAACAATGGCTAACAAGATGGCTCAGACATGGAAGAGATCATAAACTGCGAGTGTGGAGATTCAGCCGCCAGGACGAAGAAGTTCTTCAGAAAACTCTGCCCGTCGATATCGGTGAGGGATCTCGGGCAAACACCGCCAGCCAGCCCTGGCTCGTGCATTCTCTTCCTGTGAACGCGCTGAACTTTTGTGCATTCTCGATGCTCTTTCTAGAAGAGACCGCGTGTGCGGAAAACAGTCAAGGTGCCAATGCGACGGAAGAATCTGCAGATGCGGCGCTCCAGGCCGCGCCCCGGTCGCCTGCGCTGATAGCGGTTCCCAACGCCCTGAACTCAGGCGCTATCGATCTGTTCCACCTTCCACTCGAGAGGCGAGTGTGCACCATTCCCGCAGATACGACTACGGAAACTGGGATGGTCATGGCTGCTCATCTGTTCGCGGGACCACTCGGGGACCTCTATGTTGCATCAGCATACGAAGATGGGCACGTCATGCTTTTTGCCCGCAGAGGTCTTGTTAAAGAACGAGATATCTTACAGGGGACTACCGCTTCCTGGAAGTGGGAAAAGCTGTATGCCTGTCGACCTCATAGCCAACCAGTCTTGTCTATCGACGTCTTTCCTCAGGGCAATTATTTCCTCTCCTCGTCTGCTGACGCGTTGCTGGTGAAGCATCCTATTCCCCGCTTGGGTGACCGATCGACGAATCGGCGGGAGGAGGCAGTGTTGAAGACGGTTAATACTAAGCATGCGGGCCAGCAAGGTATCCGCATCCGATCTGATGGGAAGATCTTTGCGACGGCGGGTTGGGACAGTAGAATCCGGGTTTACTCGTGCAAGACCATGAAGGAACTCGCAGTGTTGAAATGGCACCAGGAGGGATGTTATACAATTGGTTTCGCGGACGTTGCTACAGCAGCAAAATCGAATGATGCGCCTACGGGTGACTCAAGCGCCGGAGGAGTCGGAAACGATTCGCACGACAGCCATCAGCAAGTTACAACACGAGAGGATGAAGCTTTTACACTCGCTGCTGTGCAGCATCAGAGAAACAAAAAAGTGCAAACCACTCACTGGTTGGCTGCTGGGTCAAAAGATGGTAAAATTTCATTGTGGGATATCTACTGAAATGAGTCACCGCTCTTCTATATACAGCTGTAGCACAGGCTAGGCAAGATTGAACTCGCTTGCTCCAGCCATGTGCTCTCTCATCTTAGCCCTCATCTTCTGGGCTGCCGTTGCCGTATCGTTGGCAGACGGTATATCGTCAGCAAGATCTGCACCACCAGCCTTCCTCTTCTTTCCTGCGGCTGGCGTCCTCTCAGCCTTGAAGTCCTTCTTCGTCTCCTCCTTTCCTTGTCGTAAACCGGGTACATTGATTTTACTGGGACGGTCACGCAGCGCAAATGCCTTAGCGAGATGTCCCAGGTGGAGCTCTTTGATGTTGAACATGCTCCGTTCAGCGGCGATGTGTGTGGCGTACGCACGGATGTGGGACTGGAAGGCTCTCCGAGCCATCTCGAGGTATTCCGGCTTCTCCAGCGCCCACCGTTCAACCTCGCACTGCCAATCTGTCGCTTTTGTCTCCCAGTCCTTGTTCCCGGTTTCAACATTGCCGCCAAATCCGCGCTTGAGAATATCATTGGCGTCTGTGCGAGTAAGCGCCTTTCCGCCGTCGCGATAGCCCCTTTTGAGAACTTCGACATAATTCTCCTCGCATCCAGGCTGAAGGAAGATTAATGCCCGGCCGTCACGGCCTACACGAGCTGTACGTCCAATTCGGTGCAAGTGGTCTTCCGCGCTGAATGCTGGATCGTACTCCACAACCAGATCGACATTTGGCAGATCCAAACCACGAGAGGCCACGTCGGTACAGATCAGGACAGATGGTTCGCGGTTCTTCGCAAACGACCCGAGAGTAGATGTTCGGACGTTTTGAGGTAGGGAGCCGTGGAGTCGGAACAAAGTCACCGGGTTTGACGGATTCGAAAACGCAGTAGCAGGCGCTATGGTACCGTGAGGCGACAATGGAGGTTTGTCTTCTGCTTTCTCTGTATCGCTAGGTTCGCCGTCATTCTCCTTCTCTTGTTTCCTTGTAAATACTTCAAAGTGGAAGTCGACTGAGTCAGCACAAGAGACAAAAACGATAGCCTTCATGACTGATCCCTTCCTCATAAAAGTGCGTTTGAAGAAAGCAGTGAGTGTGACCAGGCGCAGCTTTGCCGCAACGATGGCGTATGATTGTTTGAGCTGGGCAGGCACCCGATAGGCGGATTCTTCCTCTTTACTGGCTTTCCTGGCATTCTCATCCTCGTCCTCTGGGTCTGCTTTGATGTGGACTGCGTCTTTCAAACTGATCTCACCAAGCTTCTGTACGTTCATTTTCAGCGTAGCAGAACAAAGAACTGTAGTTCTCCGTGCAGGAACACCGGGTATGCGACTGGGACGCTGTCGTGCGTCGAGTTTCTTCACTATGCCCTGAATCTCCTCCTCGAAACCCAGCTCCATCAATCGGTCACCTTCGTCAAGCACTAACCACCGCACATTGCTTACATCCAACGCCTGCGTATTATCCAGATGATCCGCCAGTCGTCCAGGCGTAGCCACAAGGATATTCAGCCCTTTTCGTAGTCTGGCCTTCTCTGACTTCTTCTTCTCACCACCAATGACAGTACCCGCCACAATCCAATGCGCACATCGCAGCAAACTCTCCAACACAACGGAGATCTGCTTGCACAATTCACGGGTAGGGGCCAAAACGATGGCGAACAAGCCACTGTCGCGGTGTACGATAGGCTGGCCCTTTGCGTCCGTTGCATTCGCCCCGGTCTGCTCGCCAGGCTTCGAGAGAGCCATGATCCTCTGCACCAAGGGAAGAAGATACGCCAGCGTCTTTCCGGATCCAGTCTCTGCCTGGATAAAAGCATCGCCATCTTCCTTCAGAAGCTGCGATATAGACGCCTTCTGAATAGCCGTTGGAGCCTTCAGCTCCAGTTTCGTGAGAAGATGCGCCGCTAGATTCGGCGACAGGCCCAGATTCGTAAAGGTGTCTAGTCCATCGATGAGAGGCGCATTCGTCGGTTTGGCGTCCTCGACACGCCCTTCCTCCTTCACTTCTTCGACTTTCTGTGGTTCCGGGTTCTTCGTGAACAACGACGAAATGAATTGGCGGGGTTGATTGGAATGCGGATGCGCGTGCGACTGTTGCTTTCCGCTATCGCCTCCATCCGTCCTCTGTCTCTTGACCGGCCGCGACGAAGATACTTCGATCCTATTGGGGTTGCGCGGGGCTCTGGGTGCACTGTCTTCGTCGCCGGGTTGCCTGGGGCCTTTGGCATGGTGCTTGGCGATTTTCTTTGCGCTGAGCCGGTCCCGCCATGTTCCGCCCTTGAGCTTCGTTTCTGGCTTGATGATGTTGGTATCACCGAGGGAGAAGTTCAGAAGCAAGCCGTCGTCCGCCATGAGGAGATTTGTTGGGCTGAAATGCACAGCCGTTTGGTATCCGTCATTGCCGTTTTGCTTTGGATATCCCAAAAAAGCTTTACTGCGTAAGGAAATTTTCTCGGGCCGGTTTGCTTCCGAGCCCTGAGAGGCTGCCCTAGTTTCCTGTTTCGGCACTACGTTTTGTTCAATGATTCTCATGTTGCCGTCTACTTGTACATAAATTAAACGATGGTAGGTGGATTGGAATACTCAACGTCCAAACTTCGGAAATCAATAGGCTGGAGTTTCCGGTTTCTGATTCTGTGCATGTGATTGAGGGCGAATGTCCTCAAGCAATCCAGCTTCGCTACAGTCGCGATCAATGATGGGAATAGTCTTTTGAGCTTGATGCAAATGTGTGTTTGGTTGAATGTGTGCTGGTTTTGGCTTAAATACAGCGCATGCCGCCTGGGCCTATACACATAATACTCCAACGCCCAATAAGAGAAAAGGAAGGGCATGCAATATGGTCGCGCCAAAGGTATGAGCTGAAGGACGTTGGTGAACGGTCAACCCCGTGGTGTCAAGATCAGATTGTCAATCAGCCGTACAGGTACCTTCCCATCACCAAGACCGCAATCTTCACCAGGCTTTGATTCCTCTAGAGGAGCCATTTTGACTGCGCCACTCAAGATGGCTCCTCTCGAAGGATCAACGACCTCCAATTCATCCAAAGTGTCAGGATCCGCGAGGGAGATATAATCAACTTCGTAAAGCGCCCTTTCTGAGGGTTTCAAAGCCTGCTGCTCGGCGAGTACCTTCTGTGTCATCCGATTGGCGGCATCCAAAATCTCGTTTCGATTCGTTTTGCCAGACAGGTATGCGTCTTCAGCTGCTTTCAAGGCATTGAAAAGAACAAGGCCAACGGCACGTCTTCTCGACCCCAGGTAAACATTCCTCGAACTCATTGCTAGTCCATCCTGTTCGCGGACTGTAGCACCAATCCTGATCTCCGTATCGATATGGAAATCTTTCACCATCCGCTTGATCACGACCGTTTGTTGAATGTCTTTCTGCCCAAAGTAGGCGCGGTCGGCGCAGACAATATTGAAGAGCTTCATGCAAACTGTGGCAACTCCGCGGAAGAAGACGGGACGGGAAGCACCTTCGAGCTTCTTTGAAATGGGTTTGATTATGACAAACGAACCGTCACCGTCTATCTCTGATGATGGCGGTAATGTAGGGTACATGACCTTGGACGTAGGCGCTAGGATAGCCGTGATACGACCATAGTTCTCACCCTGGCGAGCCAATTCTTCGTTCAATTGTTCTAGTTTCGCCACGTCACTGTCCCAGGTACGAGGGTAGCTCGCGAGATCTTCATTGACACCGAATTGAGTTGGGTTAACGTAGATACTGACAAAGACGTCGGTGTTCTCCGCCGCTGCCTGTCGCATCAACGAGAGATGACCTTCGTGAAGAGCCCCCATTGTGGGAACAAGGCCTACAGTCCGGTTCGACAGCAGCAACTGTCGGCGCAGCTTTCGAAGGGGGGGTACATCGCGGAACACCTCGAACGAGTGCTGGCGAGAAGCCATTGCGGAATTGAACAACGACGTGGTAGCTATCAAAGACAGGCAAAAGTCAGAAAGTGCAACACGCTTCCCAAACACAGAAACAAGGGAGTCATACTCGAAAAAGCTCTCAGCCAACGCGACATGGCTTCGCCGTATTTATGGTGTTCAGTGGATCAATGACTCCTGGGTTGTGCAGTAGGGTGATGTTCCGCTGTGGAGCAGCGACGACGGTTCAGGCACCACTAAACAGCCCGACGTTTATAATGAAGCTTCCAGAGTGGGATGAGGCCATTGACAAGGACAATCATGCTCTCTGATTGCTTGAATGCCTGCTGCCCTTGATCGCCGTGCTGGTGGCTGCTGCGTTGACCTCATCCTTTTGAACTTTTTAGCGCTTTTTTCCCTGTCGCTTCCCTAATCGGGCTTAGTGCTGTGTATTTTAGACCCATACCGGATGGTAATTATGGTATGATATATATATCACGTGACTGACATCCGAGGTATTCTGGGGAAGTAACCCAAGAGTCTGAGAGTCCGGCGGGAGATCTACGGCGTTTGTTGGGAAGACGCAGCGCTCGCAGGGTATAACTATCCTGGTTTGGTCATGGCTCTGGATATTGCCTCCCAATCATCTGGCGGATGGCCACTTATCTGAACTCGTGTCTCCTCTCATATCACGATTAGATGCGATTTGAACCTCCGCCGTTTCGCTCCTTCGATAACGCTCTTTACTTCCCCTTCCCCGCAATAAGACCGTTCGTTCGCCTGTAGCTCCGATTTACGATGCCGGCGGAGAAGACACCCGTGGAGCACTCAGCTCCCGACCTGGAGATTGTTGGTGATAAGGTCACAATTCATCCAAGTGGATATACTGGGGGACCTCAGGATGGCCCAATTACGGAGCGGAACCTCGTTTCCCATATGGCGCGCTTCCGCGAGAATCCTTTTGACTTTTTGCGAGAAGTTAGCCTCTACATGTCTGGAACAGGATGGCGTGCATACAACGACGTGATCGGACAGCCTATATTTTACTCAGGGTTCTCGGAACGTATCAAGTCGAGCATCCTTGCCAGTCCCATTCTGCAAGCGAAGGTCAAGGAGCTAGCAGAGATGCGCCTTGCGGTAGAG